GGCCAGAGCTTGGAAGCGGCTGCTGCTGCTGCTGCTGCAGCGCGGGAAAGAGAAGCAGCAGCAGCAGAAGAGCTGCGAGTAAGCAGGCCCTCTTTGTCTCTTTCGCTGCCTCTTTTTCCTTTTCTTCTTTTTCTCTTTTTAGAATCTTTTTGCTGCTGCTGCCTCTGCCTGCGGCTTCTCTGGGGCCCCCATTTTGCTGCTGCACGTGCTGCCGCACTTGCCCGCTTTTGCTGCAGAGCTGCGAAGCAAAAGAGACGCAGCAGCAGGCAGCAGCAGCAGCAGCAAAAGACAGCAGCGACGAGGCCCGCCTGGCCCTCGCCAACTTTAGCAAGAGGGCCAGCAACCTTCTGAGCCAAGTAAACCCTAAATCCTAAACGCTAAACCCTAAACCCTAAACCCTGAAGCCTCGAGGCAAGGCAGCTAGCTGCGCAGCCAGCGATGCTCGACCCAGCCGGCGCGAATTGCCCGCTGCTCCCACTCTCTTAAGTAGGGTTTAGGGTTTAGGGTTTAGGTTTAAGGGTTTAGGGTTTAGGGTTTAAGGTTTGTTTCACAGGACCAGCTGAAGGTATTGCGGGAGAAGCTGGAGGCGAAGGAGAGGGAGAGAGACGCTGAGGAGAAGCAGCAGCAGCTGCTGCAGCAGCGGCTGCAGGAGGCAGTTGCTGCTGCTGCTGAGGCTCAAGAAGCTTTAGAGCAGCAGCAGCAGCAGCTCAACGACAGCCAGAAGCAACTACCTGCCGCTATGACGGTGCGCTGACACACCGAACGCTCACCAAAGCTGTTGTTGCTGTTGCTGCTGCTGCTGCTGCTGCTGCTGTGGGTGCTTCTAGCGTGCCGCCTGCTTAGTTCAGTGGCTAGCCCCAAAGCCACTTGAGAAATTCTCTGGGGGCTCCAAAGGGGCCCCCAAAGGGACCCCCAGAGGGGCCCCCGAAGGGGCCCCCAAGGGGGCCCCCAAGGGAAATCAAAAATTGGGGGGCCTCTGGGGGCCCCTGGGGGACCCCAAGGTCCCTTGGGGGCCCCTGGGGGCCCCCGGGGACCCCCGAGCTGCAGCAGCGCTTGGAGCAAAAGAGGTGTGGGTTTTGTTTGCTGCAGGCAGTGAGTTGTGCTGCTGCTGCTTTGGGAGAAGCTGAGAAGCAGCTGGAGAGCGAAAAAGAAGCTGCTGCTGCTGCTGCTGCTGCTGCTGTTTCGCGGCAGGGAGCCCTTGAGGCGAAGAGGCAGGCGCTGGAGGCCCTGCAGCAGCAAGCAGCAGTAAGAAGAATAAAAAGAAAAGAGAAAAGAAATTAAAACTAAAAAAGATGTTTAAAAGAGATTCAAAAAGATTAAAAGAATTAGAAAATATTAAGAATTAAACGAAAGTCAAAAATGTAAAAAAATTATTAAAAAGGGTTTAAGGTGCCACAGGCACAAGTAAAACTCTCCTATTTGGAATAAAAATTCTTCTCATTTCAAATAATTTAAAAGGAATTTAAATTATTTAAAACACAAGAATTTTAATTATTTAAAAAAGAATTTAAATTATTTAAAGTGATTCTTGTTGTAGGTTTTAGTTTAATAGGTGCTGTTTCTGAATATCACTTGTCTCTTTGATCGGGACAGTCTCCTTTTGAGCTGCTCCTGTTGCTGCTGCTGCTTCTGCTGCTGCTGCTGCTGCTGCTGCTTGCGGGTGGCGCAGATCCTCAAGAGCAGTTGCCCACAGCTCCCAGAAGGGACAAACTTGCCCAAACTCTCCGCCGCGGTAAGAAGCCAGCTAGCCACCAGCTAGCCACCAGCTAGCTGCCAGCTAGCCACCAGCTAGCTGCCGGCTAGCCAGCAGCTAGCCAGCAGC